GTCTATATGTACACGAACGAGTCCATTAGTTTTTGATATGTCGATCTGAAATGTTACACACGCTTTTTTATACCCAAAATGCTATAAATTTATCTAAACCGCCGATATCGAACCGCATTATAATATAGCTGCCATACAAACTGATCAATCAAACTCAAGATTCAAGTAAAGGAAATTTTTTATTTGACAAGATGCCGAAATTTGGCATGGTGTTTAGCCCAAGTCAAAGGTATAATTTCTGAACATATTTTTTAGATCGGACCTGTATAGCATATACTTGTAGCTCTCATACAAACTGATCGAACAAACTCTAGTCTTTATATGAAAAGCTTTTGTATTAATTTGACGATGGATATATTAATAAAATTTGACTTAGGTTATTGTCTCAAACAGAGGTCTGAAAAAAAATTTCAAATCGAATTTCTATAGCATATAGCTGTCAGACAAACTGATCGATCAATAAGAAGTTCTTGTAAGGCATCTTTTGTATTTGTGACAGTTACCACAGATTCGGTGCAACCGAAATTATCGTTTTTTTTTTGTTGTTTCAACTAAACTAAGACATTTTTGTTTATAAGCCCACCATCCATTCACGATGTAAAATAAAAATAGATGTACTTAACTTAAGCTTTAAGAAATTTTGTTTCACACAATACGAGTGTCTGGAATCAATGTCGCCTATAGTCAACAAAATGGTTCCGAAGATTGTCAAAATAGACGCCAAAGACAATAAATAGTTTTTCTTTTCTGCAATAATTGCCTCAAGAAGCCTGAAAGGTGGTTATTTGATTGATTCTGCCTTAGTTCGAGGATAAATTGTCAAAACTTAGTTTTTTGATTATCCTAGACTGGCCAAACCCCTTAAGGGCACTACTCAGCATTAGTTTGGAGCTCAATCTGAGCGATTGATTTTGGAAAAAGGAAATAAAAAAGTCGATATATTAGGTTAAAGAAGATCTTGAAACTGCCAAAAATAATTTTCTATAAATTTTATATACAAAAATGTATAAAAATTATATATATTTTATTTTTATTTTATTTTAGTCTCAAATCAGCTCTAAGGTCAAACTCTGCGCACTTATGCATTAACACATATTCTGTATTAAAAAATGCATTGTAATCTACTTATATATATATATTTACACAGACGAGTCTACGAGTTTATTAAATTACTTTCAATTTATGTATAAATTTCCCCGTGCTTACATAAATTAATTCCCTCAATTTACGCAGTTAAGTCTCCTATACATATACACATATGTGCATGCATATAGATACATACGTCCGTACTTAGGCACAAATCGCGTGTTGATTAGGTGGGTTAGCAACAAACCTCGTTGACGCTAGACAACAATTTTAATCCAATAAATACCAAAGTAATCAACTTGGTATGCGGCCAACAGACACGAGTGCACATATTTTATGTTTGCCAAAGTACGCAGAATTGCCAAGCATAAATTAATATTTGCTGGTTTATTATACTTAAGTATGTTTATGAACGCGTGCTTGTAGCATATGGGTCATCGAGAGTTATATTATGCATATATGTACATATTATTAATATACAATATTGTACATATTGGCGATATTGATAACGAGAAATGTTTTATAAAATATATATGCTACATATATACAATATGTATTAGTAAAGCATCAGCTATTTATATATATAATTTCATGCAAATATGATTAACACATGTGTTCACATGCTATTAAACATGCATAGGTTGGAATTTATGCAGCAGCGCTTGAATATGCAATCAATGACTCTATAATGACCACACATGGCGTATGAGCAACCAGCGGAGTAGCAAGTGTTGTTTAATTAAGTTGACCACTGGCGGTGAGCTGCTGTTGTTGCACGCTGTGGGCCAACACAGCTGGAGAACGTCAGAGCCAGACGACAGCTAGACAATTGCGCAAGCGTAATCTACATACATATGCATGCTGATGCGTTGCATACATTTAGGCGTATGCCTTATTCACAAGCATTTGCGCCTTTCTAAAGCGATATTTGAATAGAAACACGTAGATAAACACTCATACATTTGTAATGAAATGCTCTTTTCGCTTAAAATATTAATGAAATTTCGCTTATGAGTTTAAGAATTTTGAAAATATTTCAATTTGAGCTTTATGAAATCAATTAGTTTGGCAATAAGTCTTAAAGCATTTCGTTTGTAAGTTATAGGATTATCTGAAAAGCTGTTTAATATTGATAATATTAAAGTATTTGTGAAGAGCTAAATTTTCAAATTTCTTTTGCAGAAATAGAATTAAAATTTTAATAACTTCAAATTGCAACTTGTTATTTCGATTTCATATACTTTTGCAAAGTCTTAAATATTTATTGGTATGCATATATATATTTTTTTGCTGTTTTATTGACTCAAATTAAATGTTCGAATTAATAGTTTGGCAACATTTCAAAAAATATAAATGATAAAAATCGAAACATTTATACAAAAATTCAACATTCATCTGATGCGTTTTTAACCAAATGGATTAATTTAATCAGTTACATACATAAATAAGTATATTAAAGGCATTATAGATAAGATGAAAACACGTCCCACCAAGTAGCACTAGCAGCTCTACTTGAGCTTACAGAAGAGCTATAGAACTTTCACAGAAGACAACCCTAAAAATAATGAAGAAATATGAGAGAAAGATAATATTGTGTCAATCAAAAAAGCAAACAAAAGACGTATCGATGTTAATAAATTTCGATTTCAAATTTAGCTTAGTTTAAGAAGAAAAACATCATGGACTCAAACTCAGATAAAGAAAGAAATAAAACCACACACACAAGTGTGAAACACAGATGAATCCAAGACTGCAGTAGGCATTGACGTGGGAACTATAGGCCTAAAAAACAAAGCCGTCAATACCCATGGACAAAAACACTAGCATTTTTCGAGCAGATGTAATCGTTATCACCTCACGTGCAGAATTCTTAATCAGGTGAATGACAATTAAGCAGCAGACTCGGATGAAAGCCAAGCTGCATTGTTGGCAATATCATAATGCCAAATTAAAAGGCATATGGTGTGGGAATGAGACAGCAAACTAAAAGCAGTAGACAAATGAAATAAAGTTCGATTATTTTGTATTCCGGGATATACAAATATTGAAAACAAAAACGAACTAGCAGACAAATTTTTGAAAGTAGCAGTTTCGGTTCCGCCGACGGGTCCAAAACGCTGTCGCCCAATAAACCCTCATACTATAAAAGAAGAACTGGGACATGAGGAAGAGGAAATAGGGTTTAATTTAGTAGTGATGTAATTAAAAACTCGATATTATTTTATTTAATAAAAATAACTTAAGAATAACATACTAATAGGATTTCTTACTTGACACTGCATACTACGCAAGCATATGCACAGAATAAGAATTAGCTCTGACGAAAGTTGTCGCTTCTGTGAGCTTAAACCCGAAACACCAGTTCACATATTATTGGAATGCAATGCTGTAGCTAGAAAAAAGCTGACGCATCTGGGTGTCATGCAACCGCAGCAAAGTCACATTAAATCAAATAATCCCTCCAGCATGCTAGATTTTCTAAGGGCCTTAGGATTGAACGAAATAATGTGAAAGAATCAGAGGACACAATAGACCTATTTTCGCGGTGCATATCCTCCTCCATCTGTCTACGAGTATACGTAATTAAAAATATATATCAACTGGCTGAACATTCATGCAGTACACCATGTCGTATGAGCAACACAAAATTTATAAGAAACGTGTATGAATACTCAGGGCATTTGATGTATAAATAACTTTACCTGCGTATTAATTATAAAGGCATGTTTTTAAGGAAAAATAGTCACTATTGCAATAAGATTATTAAATTTTTGTAAAGAGCGACTTTTGCACATAAATTTATGTATTTATGAGCATTTTATGACAACATGTGAAATACTTGTACTCGTAAGCCTCACCAGCCTTTTAAATGATTTAGCTTTATTCAAATAATCATTATCTTAAGCTTAGTATGTATCCTAAGAGACCAAATTCGGACATGGGGTGCCAACTTTAGACCGCTACGTCCACGTGCAAGCTATTTCTAACATACATATTTGTATAGGATATACTTATAATTTTCCACAAAGTTTTTAACACCCAAAAAGAAACGTCAGAGACACTATAAACTATATATATAAATTATCAACGTGGCTAGCTGAGTCTATTTAGCCATGTATGTCCGTCTATCTATCGATTTGAAGCTTTTCTGCCCAAGAATCTACTCATTTATCTAATTGACCGATATCAGTTCCCTATAGCATAAAACTGTCATACAAACCGACCGGTCATCATCAAGTGTTTGTATGAAAAACGTTTTTGATTAATTGTCTTCTCGAAATTATGTATAAATATATCGATTATATTATTCAATGGAAAACTGAATGATAAAAATCTTTTTATACACTTTTATGATATAAATAAAAAGATGAATCTGCGATGGATTTTATAGCTTCGGTATAGCCCATGTTAACATTTTTTCTTATTTAAGAAATACTTTAAACTTCTCTCCAACACTTTACTGAAATTTCCTAAAAGTTTCATCAAATTTACTAAGTCACTGCTTCCAGTTTTTAATATACTTTCGAAATAGGTGTGTAAAAAATGTTTTTAAAAACATCGAATTTATACCCAAATTTTTTCAATCATACAATATTTAAAAAAGATTTAAAGTTAGCATAAACTGAAACTGCCTAATCTCCCTCTTTAAGCTTTAAGATAACAACGCTGCTGAAGTGTTGCGCCAAGGTTTGCTTTGCTACCATCACTCAGCACTTACTTCCAGCCACATAACCCATTAAAGCCAGGCAATGGCAATACTAAGTTTACATAACCATTTAAGCATATAAACTGCTTCTCGGTAGCATATCCAGCAGCAATAAAGACTTAATCACACATAATCACTTTACTCAGTTCACTCAATGTGCTTTTCTCTTCTCTTCTCTTCCATTTCTTTGTGCGCCGCCTTCAAACAGGTGACATCATGGACATATTGGCGCTACTCAATTCCAGCATCAATTTCATACTCTACTGCTCGATGAGCCGTCAATTCCGCACCACATTCACCAAGCTCTTCCGGCCGAAGTTCCTTGACAAATGGCTGCCAGTGGCACAAAACGACGACGGCGGCACTGGCATCAACGGCCGACTGCGCGGCGAATTGGCCAGCAAATCGCACGCCGTCGAACAGCAGTGCCTGACCACGCAGGTGACGAACGTGTAGCATCGAAGTCACATGCCTTGCTGTCGCGCCACGCCATCATACGGCGATGAGGAAACAAGCGTAGTGGCAGCGCGCAGCGGCCTCTGCGGCTGGGGTAGCACGCTAATGGGCAACGTTGTCGGCAAGCATGCCGAGCGCTGGGCGAATGGCAATGGCAGCGCAGCTGCGCGTGAACACAAAACGAACGATGATGATGTTGCGGCGCAAGAAACGGCCTATCGACACAACAACAATAATTGCAGTAGTAGTAGTAGTAGCAGTGCGGATGGCACAAGAGGCGCGCACTGCGTATTGCAACAGCAGCAGCAGCATTATGAGGTGGAGCGGCAGCGGCAGCGGCAGAGCACCAGCGGTTGGCGTAGCAGCAATCGCAGATACAGTATGCTGCGCTGTATGCTCTGCAATCTAAAACAAAGCCACACGCCAACACAACAACAACAACAGCAGCAGCAACAATTTGCAGAACAACGCACGAAAGCACGTGTAGATCAGCAGGCGCAGCCACAGTCACAACAGCCGCAGGCTATTGTTGTTGCAGTGGTGGTTGGTGCCTCGATTGACCATCAAATACAACAACAAGAGCCACAGCTGAGCGACAACCTCAATGTTGAACAGCACCGGAGCAATACAGCCGCTGATGTTGGTGATTGCAGAAGCAGCAGTGACAGCTCATGCGGGCGCAGCAGCAGAGCTTCTTCGTATAATTGTGACAGCGAAGGCGTCCACATCGGCGGCAGTGAGGCGCTTTTGTAAATAGGCGTGGTGCTGGGCAGTTATTAGCAGTTGGTGATCGATTCGTTGTTCGTTGTATACCTCAAGGCTGTTGTGTAGTGCTCCACAGGCATGTAAGTGCAAGTGTGTGCACATTTTAAGTGCGCAAATTTAAGTTAGTTCCGTAATTTAAGTAGTTTATATATATATATATATAGCTTCATATATGTATATGTACATATACAAAAGTGCTAATACAAACTTATTATTTATTAAGAGTTCTTATACTTCATTATTAGCTCAGTAATTAAGTGTCAAGCTATGCATATTTACAATAAAAGCGTTCGTAAGTAATTTTTGTAGCTAAATTGGTATTGATTTTGTGAAATAGTTATGCGCTTTTTTTTTTTAATATTTAGCATAGAAATCTTGTACAAAAAAATATGTATTTTTGCGTACAAAAACAAAGCACGGGAATAAATTGGTGCTATGTTGCAAGCTTAACATTAAATCTGTTTGATTCTTGCTGAAATCAACAAGAAAATTGGTTCGAAAAATTATAATAGTTTCTTTTTTATGGGATGCATATGAGATGGAAATCAAGTATAGTATGTTAGCCCGCGATCATATTATTCATCTGTTGCACAAAACTTGGCTTAAATTGGATATTACTTTGGAAAAAAATTTTATTTTTGAACAAAAATGGATTTTCAAATGTTTTCTTGTATAATATAAATTTGTATATCCTAGATAGATTACCTAAGAGAGAGCCACAGTGTTATAGTTTTAAACGGGCACACTTAAGAAAAAAAATAGAAAATTTTTGGACATTGAAAAAATTAAACAAAAAAACACGTTAATTTCGGTTGCACTGAAGCTAGAATACCCTTCACAAATAAAGAAGTTTCCATACAAGAACTTGAATTTGATCGTTCAGTTTGTATGGGAGCTCTATGCTAAAGTGATACGATCAAAACAATTTTTCAAAGATTCTACCGTTGTCTTAAACAATAGTACAATAGCCAAATTTGTTGAAGATATCTTGTCAATTACAAAAGTTGATTCCAATCGTTGAGTTTGTATGACAGCTATATGCTGGAGTGGTCCGATATCAGTGATTCCGACAAATGAGCAGCTTCATGGGTAGAAAAGGACGAACATGGCTAAATGAACTCAGCCTGTCATGCTGATCATTTATATATGTATATATATTTTATAGGATCTCCGACATTTCCTTCTGTGTGTTACAAACTTCTTGTCAAACTTAATATACCTTTTTTAGGATATAAAAACGACTGTAATTATATTAAAATATTAAAGGATCTATTTATAGATGTTTTTGGCATACACAGTACATTTTTTTAGAAAAAAGTTTTATATTTTTTGGGTTTACCAGCGAACTCCGATGGCGCTTAAAAATAAAGGTCCTCCACAGCTGCAGTGTTTCTGGTCTGCCCCTTGGACAAAGTCTAAAATCAATGACTTACGATCGGGAAAAATTCGAAAAATAAAAAAATTGGCCGCCTTTTACAAAAAATTTAATTTTACCTAACATTTTTGTTATTTTTGGTCTGCCAAAAATTATTTTTGTTCAGATTAAAAAACTGGTAGGCCATTGCATAGAAAACTACTACTACAAGTATATACAGAATATTCGGAAAAACGTTTAAAAAAATTCAGGCTCCGGAACATATATTTTCAAGAAAACCCCGTTCTGATGGAGCTAGTTATGTACTGAACCTTTTTTTCCATAATAATTGGGTATTGTTATGAAATTCTTGTATATGGAACACTCAATATTCGTAAGTGCAACATCTTAAATTGTATAAATTCAAAGGAAATTTAGCCATTTCTTTCTCATATTTTCTTAAAATTGTCTGTTTTCAATTTCATTTCATTTGATAGCAAGTTTCAAATGAATTCTCTTTCGTAGAAGTTTTCTCTTAATAACTGTTTAAGTATCCAAATTTATATATATCATATATTGTTTTTAATCAGAAAAGGAAAAAATATAATTTGATTAGCCCTAAGACAAATATCTCATATGCTCCCAATTTCATACTAAAGAATTTGTAATATAAACTTACGTATAAATTATAGCAGTTAGCTTTAATAGTTTCTATTTTTCGTATATATATAGCATTTAAGCCAGATAGGTTTCAGAGAATGCAAAAATTTGGCTGTAGAATTTCGTATGTAAGACTAATTAAATAGAATTCTTAATTGTTAAGGCAAAAATAAACGCTAAATATGTTAAATTTCTGTATGATAAATAAAAATAATATTTTTAAATAAATTCTTACTAAACTTATTTAGCTTTAATAAGTCAAAGCTTAAATTCAATGCGAGTATAAAAATATTTTATTATACTAGATAACTCTTTTAGGGTTTCTTAAAAGATTTTCTAACTTTAGTTTTCCAACATTAGGTCTACTTTTAGGTATAGACTATTAAAAGCATGTAAACAAACCAAAAACTTGTATGCACTGTGAAAGTTTGAGAAGCCATATATAGTTGAAAAACTTATTTAATAACTCATATTTATAATGATAAATATTTGTAGGTATTGTATATATGTATATTAGGATGGCAAAAAAACAAAATAATAAATGTTGTTTTCGCTTGAAAAAAATGGCTGGTAGATAAGAAACGCTCTCCAAGTATGAGCTCTTAATTTTAAAGGAAAGGTCATTCGTTTTACCGTTATCTATTATTTTCTTATGATCGGGTAGAAAGATTCGTATCTCGCTTCGGACTACTTGAAAACATAGCAGTACATAAGCAAGCTTTACAATTTAAAATGATGTATTTTCATTGAGTTATCAAATTCAAAAGAAAAAACAAATTTGCCTTAAAATAGGCAAACTTCAACTGCTAATATCTTTTAAACAGTTAAGTTTACGAAAAAACCGTAAGACACCATTTTGTAGAGCACTAATTTTTTCATAAAACGAAATATGTCATATTCAAGTAGTTGGAAGCAAGATATGAAGCTTTCTACCCGATCATAAGAAAAAAATATACAACAGTAAAGCGGAGGACCTTCCAGTTACAATTGAGAGCTGAACTTGGGGTGTCTGTTTAAGAGGTGTCTACCAATCAATTTTTCGGAATATCCAGCCAAAAAAAAAAAAAACATTCTCAATTTTTAAAAAAAAAACATTCTCAATTTTTATTTTTTTTATATGAAAATTACATTTAAAAAAAACAAAGCACGCCATTTTTTCGGTATCCCGAGATTTTAATTACTGTTGACGATTTCACAGTAATTTTAAAATTAAAAATTGGGTTTTTGAATTTTTTTTTCTACAAAAATTTTTGGGACTCCGATTTTTTTTGATATAGTATTCTTGAATATATTTTCTTATAAAAGTATTGTAGTCTTCATAATAAGACACACCGAATACTTTCAGTACTCCCGACATTATTTCGGAATTCTAAAATTTTAGTTAATAATCCCCATTTGACAACAATTTAAAAATTAAAAACTGGATTATTGATAACATTTTCAAACAAAAATTTTGCATTTTTGATAATAAGTCATACTGAAATTTTTCGAGATCCCAAAATGTAAACTACTGATCCTGAAATATGCTGTGTTTACAAAATTACTCGAGATTAATTTTTCATAGTTTTAATATTTTCTCAAACTTTCTCAGAATCTATACCTTCCTTCAAAGGCATTAAACAACTTTTAACTCAACAATAAAAATATCTCATTTAAGAGATTTCAGCTGTAAACGATTTCTCTTTATTTTATTTTCAACTATACTCGAAGTTTTTCACATTCCCACTCTCCCTCTCTTTTTCGATTTATTTTGTATCACTTTTATATATTATATATAACATATTCTGTACAGTGAAATGACCTTCGCAGCACCTAATTTACTATTGGCAATACAAGTTTCCCCCTCCTTGCTGACCACACAATCCATCTACTTGCATTTTTAATTATTTTTCGAAGTCTCAAAAGTTTCAACACAAAAGTTCGACATCAACGACCTCATTAATAAATGGGAAACGCCGCTTTTATATACAATCCAGCATAACTGCACTATTATATACTTACATATATATTATATGTGAATTCCAATATCCTTTATTGCTAGTAAACGAAAAATAGCATGGCCTTTCTGTCATTTTAACAAAAATGACCCAGTTTCCAGTAATTAGCTGCGAATACATTGTAAAAAGAAATGTAAAAACAAAATTCATTCATATAAAAAATCGACGAATTGGCCTTATGCTTGAAATGTGGCATGTTGCAGCTGTATCTATCACTTGCAATTGTATGCAATCTGGGCAGTCATTGCTGCTGTGTGATGGTCAATATGTCTTTGTTATTGTTTTTATTTTACAATTATCACTGATGTCTCGGACAACCGAGTAAGTGACAATAATAGGGATAGCTGGCTGCATATTACTGAATAACCAGCATTAAATGTATATGTTTCAGCATTTCTAGTTAACATATTACTTTTGGAGGTGTAGTAGTTTTACTCTAACAACGCATGATCTTTTTTTTTAATTATTGAATGATGTTATTGTTTTTTCATAAATATTTCAATTCTTTAAAAAAAATCGTAATTAACCTTAAACAATGCACAATATATCGACCTTAATAACTACATTAAATAAAATGAGCTTTCTATTAACTTCAATATGGAGACAAATTGAATTATGAAGACTAATAAAATGTGTTTTTGTTCAAAATCAATTCCTTTTAGTCAATTTTTGACTCTTTCGTTAAGTGTTGACACTGTTTTTGGTAACTATTTCAGAACCAGTTTTAAAAGGAACATATCGTTTCTTTAGTTCCTTATAACAGAACAGAACGATAAGGAAAGGGTATTTTCCCGTACCAGGTTAAGTACATACAAGTAAGACCCATGAAAGTTTAATTTAATAAAATAAAAACATATATTCTTTTCCCACACAAATTATTACTTTTCAATTATTTTAATTAATATTTAATTGTCACTTTACTATTATCCAACTGGAATATTTATAACGTTTATTTTATCACTCTAGTGCTGATTTACAGTGTACTCGCGATTACACAAACGGTATCCCGAACTCAGAGAATTTATTAGAAGCAAGCTTTTTTATTTAAACTTCAATAAGTAAAAGTTTTTCTACTTAATTTTTAAAGCAAACAAAAAAAAAATATTTATTTAAACATTTCAACTTTAATTGGACAGCATTTTATTATAATTGTCAGCTTCTATATATTTATATCATACTAAACTTACATTTTTACCACAAACTATAATTTAAATTCTGTCTGTTAATATTTCTTTTTTATATAAAAAAAATATATTAATAATAAAAATACCGAAATTTTTTCGGGATCCCGAAATTTGAACTAATGATCCCGGCTTAATAACAATTTCAAAATCAGAAAATGAATTTCAAACAAGAGTATTCCATTTTTGATAATGGCGTACTGAAAAATTTCGGCACTTCTGACATTTTTTCGGGAGCCCGAAATTTTATTTACGATACACGTTTGTTTATCAATTAGAAAATCGATTTTTGCACTTATTTAAATACAAAATTATTACATTTTTTAAATTTTCGGGATACCATAAAATTCGCTGTTAAGGAAAGTTTTCGTGTATAGTGTGTAAATAGTTTTTCATAAGTTTTGGTAAAAAAGCGGATGGGAATGTCGAAATTTGAACAACTGATCCCGAAAAACTTATTCGTAATTAAAATGTAAATAGGTTTTCACAAGTTTAGGTAAAAAAAAATTGTAATTAAGTAATTATGTAAAGTTTTAAATGCATGAATTTCAAAGCAACGAAATTTTTAAAATGTATATAAAACCAAATTTTAATATATTCATATGTACATAATTGATAAATACAATTAAAAATCGTATGTTTTTAAGGTGAATAATAGATAATGTAATTAAATTAAAGTCAATGTACTAGTTGAGATTACAAAGGCAAACGTTTATAAATTACTACAATTTATGTATTTAAGAATGTTATATAAAAAAATTATATTTCTGTTATTTTATATTTTTTCAAGTTGCAGCGGAAATGCGTAAAATATTTGTGCTTGAGCCCCACAAATATTTTAGAACATTTCTTGCCAGTAAAAAAGTGTTTCAGAAATGTACCAACACATACAAGGTAAACTGTGTACTCGTATATACAGTTATATTAAGAAAACAAAAATACAGTGAAATATAATCGAATGTGTGCTATAACGTTTATAAATTATAAATTTGTCTATTAGTAATTAAAGATTTAAAAAGCAACATAAAATTTCTCAAAAGAATTATTTTTAATATTATATTATAAAAAATTATAATTTTTATAAATAAATATTAAATTTATTATTGCAGAAAATATATAATAAAAATTTTATTTTAAAATTTTTCATTTATAATAATTGTATGAAAAATATATATTTACATTTGGAAGCGTTAATACAAATTATGTAAATTAAGGCTACGATAAAAAACGATGAAGTGTATATAACCATATATTTGTACGTATACAAATAAGTATGTAATAAGTGCTTGTAAAGTATGGTTTATGTATGAACATATGTATATAAGCTAGTGCTAGAAAATTTCATAAACGATTTAAAAAAAGTTTCAATAGCCTTTAAATGTATACATTTATGAAAAAATAAAGTGATTCAGTCAAGATTACGAAAATAAAAATGAATGTTAAAAAAAAAATTTTTTAAAAATATATTATTTTATAAAAACAAACAATGTTTATTATTGAAAAACAAAATAAAAATAAAAAACAAATATTTATTATTTTAAAAGAAGCAAAATGTTTATATTAATACCAACTAAATATGATATTTAACATTAAAAATAAAATCAAAAGTAAACAAAAAAAACTTATATAAAATTTAAACGAGAATATTTTTTCAACATAAGACGAACCAAATGAAAACGTTACAGTATAAAATTAATTACTATAATTTACACAACACGTGTTTCTCATGTAATTGGTGACTAATTTACTTAGTTTGTCATCGTAAGCGAAAAGAGCGAAAAAACGGAAAAAAATATTGAGCGAGTAAAATCAACCAAAGTAAATATGTACGTAGCCACATATGTATTGCTATTAATATATGTAATACATTTACCGAATCACACACATACATGCATATTTTTTATAAGCGATAAACAGTGATTTTATTTGTATGTTTCTAAATACAAGTACAACTGTATACATACACAAAATGAAGTTGTTGGAAATAAACTCTAATAATAATATTTGTGAAAATTAACATCGTTTATGTGTTTCTATTTAGTACTAGCTGACCACACTATTTGCCTTTATACTTAGGATAAAGGGGCCTGTTATAGACGATGATATCTGAACATGGAATTTTTATATTTTTTATATTCAATTTCGCACACGACAGAAGAGCTGCGGTACATTTTCTATTTCTTGACATTGACTTCTCTCCAGTACGTCAATGACGCCTACATCGCATATTATATTGCAGCCTAGCTCATCGCGCGACTTTTTATAATACTTCGAAACAATCAAAACTTTCTCTTTATAATATTAGTGTAGATTAGCAAACCAGAAGAAAGGCAAACTAGAGCTAATCTTAAAGGAATGTGTGTTCCAAAAAATTGTAAAACGGATTCAAAATACATAAAACTTATTTCAGTTAAGAGGAGTTAAAGTGAAAATTGACGGCTATTCAAACTTCACAAAGAGGTGAAATCATATATAAATCTAACTAGCTAACCTTTCGGGCATACTCTAATAATTATACGGCCCAATTAAAATAAAAAAATTATTTTTGAAGATTTCGAAGGTAAGTTTATAATGCCTCTCCTGTAGAAATCCTCATCCGAGTTGGCAAAAAACTGTGACAGTCTAGTTTCACAAGTTTCTCTTAAGGTTATTGTTTCACCCAGCATATTCATTTGTAATACACAGTAATAGCTAGTAATCGCTTGGTGTCTGCTCCAGACTATAATATGGATTTATAAGAACTTCCCAAACAAGCTTCCGAAGCTTCTGGCGAGCACCTATTGATATGTGTAACCTGCGTTATTCTGACGGAACACAATACAGGAGAGAGCAGCTCATAGAAGATGACTATCTTCCAATCTCACCTAACACACAGCAATACCTTCCTGAC